ACACATCATGCTGAACACCCGCACCAGGTGTTACAACTACACCATAGCTGACGACTATCTCTCCTTGGTCCAGGATGACAATGGTATGCCAATCTAGCTGGCTCTGCTAGGACTTAAAGAGGGGGTAATGTTATGAACACTGCTACATCGTCTTTTCCTTTGTTTGTGCCATGTGACTTGTTGTTTGGCTTTGTTTAACCTTTGTTGATTATGCTTATGCCTTCTTTTGTACTTATTTGTTCCTTATCTTTGACTTGGGCTGTGCTTATCTATGACTCATATTTTACATCAGGACTCTTACGTATTTTCCCACCAGAATCACAACTATACCAGATATGTCTACATATATTCTCACCTGGCCCACCCCTGCTCCATTTCCCCTTGTAGTGATATTATGACTTCGTTGATATGCCAAGTACTTTACTCCGATTTGGACTCCAATCCCTGTTACATATATAAGGCCTGCTTAGATAGCCCTGTATGCCTCAGACTTGACTTCTTAATCAACTTGGTGCATTACCTTCTGGGTGATCCCTAAGACCTGACTCCAGAATCGTCTCAGTGCTTTTGGCACTTTTCTGCTCACCAGTACTAAGGGATTAGCTCCTTGGTATTGACTTGTCACTCAACTCTGTGCACTAGTAACACAGTGTACAAAGACTTTGTAGTTTTGCTACGCAACTTCATCACATGTCGTGCTGAATGCCCGCACCAGGCATTACACCTACTAAAACTATCTATGGGACAAAAACCCAGCTACAACTATGAAGCTACTAATACCTAGTGCACACTCAAGGAGCTTAAGGTGATTCTCCCACTTAAGGGTCCCTCACACCTTTTGCAAGAACCCCGAAGGGCTAGCCAAACAGTTCAGGATGAGCAGCAAACTGCATCATCCTGTGGGGTGTTAAGGTTAGTGATTGGCAGGGGTAACCCTGGGGTATCCTCGTTGGTACCTGTACCCGTACCCATACCCATCACTATGGGTATGGGTAACCCATGGGTTACCCGTGGGTCACCTGTGAAAATGCATGCAAGTTCTTTACTTGCATCATGCATTTTGGATAACTGGCCTGGGCCTTCCCAGACCAAGAAGATACACAACGCATTCATTTGTGGCTGCTTAAGATCCCTCAATGACTCTTGTTTTATGTTCAGAAGATTAAGATAATTAATTGTTCCATTTTTATTTTATTATTCTGCTTTCAATTCTATACAAACACAACTAAAATCCAGTATACAGTGATGATTAGATAGGATGTTATAGAACATTGATGAAAAGCCTGTCAGATAACCACACAGAATGCAAAACAAATTGACGAACACATAGAAATTGGTAGGGGTAACCCCTGGATAATTGTTTTGATACCTGGGTTACCCATAAAATGAAACACATGCAAGTTCTTTACTTGCATGTTACGTCCGGTGCAGGATGTTCTGCACAACTTGTGTGACAGCATATCATTCATAATCAGATAAGAAACCAATAAGGCCTCTTGGAGTGAAATGAGATGAGTCAAAGTCAAAGGGGCTGTTCCCAAAGACAATGTTGAGTGGAGAAGTGACAGAATCACTGAGACAAACGAGTCAAGGAGCAAAGGGGATGTCCTGAAGACAAGCACCAATGTATTCAATAAGTTGAGTCTGAGGTCTACAAGGTAGTTACAGCAGACTTATATATGTAATCGAATGAGCACCTAAAGATAAGATAGCAGGAGTCATGTGGGCCCAAATATATGAAAGCGGATGGCGTAAAGCCGAGCTTCTGATAGGGAATTAAGTAAGTGTCTGGTCGTAATGATAAGAAGATAAGGAAACAATCATAAGCAAAGCGGTATAAACAAGGACAAAGGTGGTCATGGGGAAGGGAGCAAGGCATGTGATGGATCCCAGGATGGAGACATGATCAAGAAATGTAGTGTAGGTGGTAAAGTAGGATCGTCATTGGGGAGATGAAAGAAAAGCGGGTTGCTAGGCAAGGGTCATAACATTGCATCGCACATTTTGGACATCTGGCCCAGGAGATCCCGGTCAAGGAGATACACACTTGGACACAACATGTTCATTTATGGCTACTCAAGATCCCTCAAAGATTCCTATTTTATGTTCATAAGATTAAGATAATTTATTATTCCATTTTTATTTTATTATTCTGGTTTCAATTTTATACAAGTGCAACTGTTCTTTGTGTTTCTGTGCATTTCAGGTAAATGGCCTGGGCCATCCTGGTCAAGGAGATAAGCACTTGGACACAACACATTCATTTATGGCTACTCAAGATTCCTCAAAAATTGTTGGTTTATGTTCAGAAGATTAAATGGATCCTTTATTTACATTATTATTTTATTATTCTGCTTTCATTTCATACAAGCACGACTGTCCTAGTCCCTGGATGCACATTTCTGCGTGTATAAGTCAACCTTCCTTAATAGGAAGGAGGTCAGACCACCATGTGATGCAATGTAGTCACTGCCCCATGTAGTGTTTAAAAGTCTGGTCCAGTCCAGTTTTTTGACCATAATGGGACACAACCGGCAACCGGTTGCAGTTGCCGGTTGCACCTTATGTCCAGATAACTGGACCGGACCACCTAAAGACCGAAAAACGGTCTTTTTCAGTCCAGTTGCCGGTCCACAACCGGTCTGAACCGGTCCTACAATATGAAATTTATGTAATAGGGGTATAGTAGTGTAGTAATAATCATATCATAATGAGGATGATATTTATCAAAGAGCATGCCAGAAAATATAATGGCAACATCTGTGATTGAACCCAAGACCTCCAAGTACACACTCGGTCCGGTGCTCTAACCATTGAGCCACCCAGCCTCACTAGTAAAATCACACAATATATTATATATAGGGTTATGCATGTGTCTAATTAATTGTGAATGCGTTTTCGATCTTATCACTTAGATGTATGTCCTAAGTATCTAATTAGTTGTGAACGCATTTTTGATCTTATCACTTAGATGTACATCCCAAGTATCTAATTAATTGTGAACGCATTTTTGATCTTATCACTTGTATTAGATGTATATCCTAAGTATCTAATTAATTGTGAACGCATTTTTGATCTTATCACTTAGATGTATGTCCTAAGTATCTAACTAATTGTGAACACGTTTTTGATCTTATCACTTAGATGTATATATCCTAAGTATCTAATTAATTGTGAACGCGTTTTTGATTTTATCACTAGTGTTATCTATGTGTAATCACAATTATGTCAGACTGCTATCCTGGAACATCTGTACCAGTATCTTTGTTTGGTTCAACATAGATAATACAAGTGATAAGATTAAAAATGTGTTCACAATTAATTAGATACTTAGGATATACATCTAATACAAGTTGTAACACTTTTTGCTCGGCGGTTATATCGGTGAATGCCACCTGAAACACTTGTCGGAATTTCTCCCACGGGTGCGGCTCTTGAATTCTAGTGTGGGCTACATTGGCTAGCCACCTCATCTTCTCCGTCGCCCATCGGTTAATTTTTGGTCCTCTCATTAGGCCCAACACATGGACACTCTGGGTATCTCATGTCTTATGATTGTCACTTGGTTATTCAGGAAGTTGTGGAGCTCTATCTGAGTCCACCAATACTTTGCCTTTGCCCGGTTTCCGTCAAACAATGGGGTGGTACCTCTTCAATTCATCCTCCGGTCGTCCCATCCTTGGGTGTCGTGGTTAATAGTAAGTCGGTGTGTCCTTCTTCTGGGTCTTTAGCTGATCGCTGTCGTTGTCTAGGTTGGGGTTCAGGAAATGTGGTCGACATGTGTCCAGGTTCGCTCCTGCTGGTAGTGCTTCGATTGACGGTTGGAGGATGTGTTTGGTTTGGTGGGGTTCTGGAGGAATCAGGTGCGTTGAGTCTGGTTTTGTTTTGGGGCTTTTCTAATAGCTTTGTCCTGTCCTAGATTGTTAGGGCGGACGTGGTACCACGTCCCTTGGTAGAGGTTGACCGCGAGGCGTGTATGTCAGTTGAAAGGTGCGTTCTCCTCTTATGATTCTAACTAGCGTGCGTTCCCTTTCAGCTTCGGGTCGACGTCGTTGGTTAATCGGGTAGGAAGGGCAAATGGGAAGGAGGTCGCCACAGCTGCAAGATTCATATCGATGGATGTCACTGAAGATTCCTGGAGTAGTCATGCTTCCAGTCGAGGTTCGAGGAGGAAATCCGGGTTCGTTGGTTCAGCGTCGAGTGGGGCGCTGTCGATCGGGGAGTCGCTTGCAAGAAGGGCAAGGCAGTTTTGGTTCTCGGTAAGGCGCTCTCAATGTCTAGCGCTACTGATCTGTCTGTTAAGTTTTGATCCGGAGATTGGTATTCGAGGGACGCGTCATCTATTGGAGGGGTCTGTGGTTCTCGCGCTGAGTGAGACGTTGTCGTTCGGGGATTCGGGAAAGGGGACGCGTTGTCGTCTCCTTGCGGGTTCGGTGAGTGTTTCTCATTCTAAGTTCTGTTAAGTCTGTTCTAATTTCTGCTGTGTCAAGGTCATTCAAGCCGCAGTCCTTCAAGTTATGGAGTGTGCGCAAGGTCAAGGTCGAGACTGTCAAGGATCAGTCAAGTCACAGTATTAAGGCGAACCACAGAGGGCCAGGATCGAGGCTCAAGGTCAAGGCTATCAAAAGCAAGTTGATTCAAGACTGTCAAAGCGAACTACAAGAGCCGCGGTCAACGTTCAAGAGGCCCACAAGTTACAAGAGGGGCACGCGTGCAAGAAGCGAGTTGAAGCAGTGGCAATAGGCCCTGCTGGAGGTCTGTCTTTCCAATATGTTCTGTTTAAATACATGTACTCTAGTGTCTTGTAAGTAAGGTAGAATGCTCAGTATAATGGCTAGCCATGTGAATCTCCACTGGAGATTGAGACTGGAAATGCAAGTGTTGCACTAAGCAGATAAATTGTCACAAATTCGTCACAAACTGTCATGATACTTAGGATACACATCTAATAATACTCTTAGTAACCATATATAATATATATTGTGTGGTTTTAGTAGTGAGACTGTGTGGCTCAGTGGTTGAGTGGGAGTGCGTGTGTGTAGACATGGCTCTGACTGTAGGTCTTGGGTTCAATTCCCAATTTTGGCCATTTATTTCCAGTTTAGGAGCCCACAGGAATTTCTCCCGGGTGACTCGGATCTGCGAGTCGGGTATTCCCATGGCTGTGGACTTTGGCTATGCCATATATGGAAATAGACCGGTTGCAACCGGTCTAAACCGGTTTTCATCGGTCTTTCAATATTCTGTAATAGCATGCAACCGGCAACCGATAAGTCACAGAATCTGGGCAACCGCAACCGGTGGTCTGGTTGCATTTGGTTGGGTCCGGTCCAGTTCCGGTCGCTTTTTCGGTTAGGGCAACCGGACTTTTAAACACTAGCCCCATGCAGCTTGTAGACACATGCAGGCCTTGTTTCAATAAAGTAATTTGATAATTAGATTATAGAATAGTCTATATTAGTTTAGAGTGTATTTTAGATAGTGCCAGACTAGCAGAATTAGTCACGCATTAATAAAACAGATGTATCATGGTTTTCAAGAAAGTGGATCACTGATAAGAATTTTATTTTACATCGCACCATTAATCTGCTTTGATATTTTGTAGGATAACACTAGAACATATTTAATGCCACCCTGTAGCATACATCAGACGAGATCTTGTATTTTTGTGGCTGCAGATGTGTTTTATCTTGGAAATTCTACTGATCTTGTCAATGGATAATTGGCGCCTATACCTGCCAAACCCGCTGCATGGGTATGGGTTTCCATGGGTTGGGAGCCATATACCTGTACCCATACCCAGCAAAACCTGCAGCGCTTACCTGTGCAGGTATGAAACCCCTTGACAATCACTAGTTAAGGTGCACAGACAGTAGATAGGAAAGCTCACAGAAGAAGCAGTGGGAAAGACTTTGAAGCTTTTTGTGAGAGCTTGTTTGTGCAAGAGTGAGTTGGGCTGTAATGAACAAAAAAGGGAATTACAGATCAGTTTGAGCAGCAGGGCCCATAACCTGTTGAACAATCATGCTGCTGGTTACTGACTGTGGTTAGTAGCAGTAAAGCTAAAAGACAAGTAGTACTTCAGAGGTTAGAAGAACTCTCTATTACTATACTACACACCTAAAAGACAAGTAGTCTACAAGAGACAGTTAGTCAAAGGTAAAAGAGAAGTATAGTAGAAGGAACTTACACTTCAGAGGTTAGAAGAACTCTGAAGTGAAAGAGATGAAACAGACACCCTTATATACCCCAAAGGATGGTCTGTGCACACTGGGAATAAGTCCACAAGTGCCAGACAATAAACAAGAGGGATAAAGGCCATTGGCCAAAGGAGAATCACATGCTATACTGTGCATTACTAAGTCCATCACTAGTGATTGTCAAGGGGTTTCATACCTGCGCGGGTAAGCGCCACGGGTTTTGCCAGGTATGGGTACGGGTATATGGCTCCCAACCCATGGAAACCCGTACCTGCGCAGCGGGTTTGGTGGGTATAGATGCCAATTATGCATTGACAAGATCAGTAGAATTTCCAAGATAAAACACATCTGCAGCCACAAAAATATAAGATCTCGTCTGATGTATGCTACAGGATGAATGTAAATATGTTCTAGTGTTATCCTACAAAATATCAAAGCAGATCAACAGTGCAATGTAAAATAAAGGTGTTATCAGTGATCTACATTCTTGAAAATCATGATGCATTTGTTTTATTAACGTGCGATCATTTCCGCCAGTCTGGCACTATCTAAAATACACTCTAGACTAATATAGACTATTCTATAATCTAATTATCAAATTACTTTATTGAAACAAGGCCCATGTGTATCTACAAGCTGCATGGGGCAGCAACTACATTGCATCACATGGTGGTCTGACCTCCTTCCTATTAAGGAAGGTTGACTTAAATGTGCAGAATTGTGCATCCAGGGACCAGGACAGTCACGCTTGTATGAAATGAAACCAGAATAATAAAATAATAATGTAAATAAAGGATTCTTTTAATCTTCTGAACATAAACCAACAATTTTTGAAGGATCCTGAGTAGCCATAAATGAATGCATTGCTTATCTCCTTGACCGGGATGGCCTGGGCCATTTATCCAAAATGTGCAGAAATGCAAAGAACAGTCGTGCTCATATAAAATTGAAACCAGAATAATAAAATAAAAATAGAATAATAAATTATCTTAATCTTATGAACATAAAATAGGAATCTTTGAGGGATCTTGAGTAGCCATAAATGAACACACTGTGTCCAAGTGCTTATCTCCTTGACCAGGATGTCCCAGGCCGGATGTCCAAAATGCGCGATGCAAGTAAAGAACTTGCACGTGTTTCATTTTATGGGTAACCCAGGTATCAAAACAATTATCAAGGGGTTACCCCTGCCAATTGCTATGTGTTCATCAAATTATTTTGCATTCTGTGTGGTTATCTGACAGGCTTTTCATCAATGTTCTATAACATCCTATCTAATCATCTCTGTATATTGGGGTGGATTTTAGTTGTGCTTGTATAAAATTGAGACCAGAATAATAAAATAAAAATGGAATAATGAATTATCTTAATCTTCTGAGCATAAAACAAGAGTCATTGAGGGATCTTAAGCAGCCATAAATGAACGCATTGTGTATCTTCTTGGTCCGGGAAGTCCCAGGCCAGTTATCTGAAATGCGCGATGCAAGTAAAGAACTTGCACACATTTTCACAGGTGACCTGCAGGTAACCCACAGGTATGGGTACCAACAAGGATACCCCAGGGTTACCCCTGCCAATCACTATCCATCACTAATCAGCTGAGTAAGAAGTAAAAGAATGTAATAAAGATAACATAAAAAGTCCGATACTCCGGAATCTAATCTAATCTAATCTACAGCTGAAGCGAACCTTAGATGCCTGAAGCATCTCCAGACACATAGGGTGTCAACAGCTTGAAGTCCCTCTATGAGTTTCAGATTATGGCTGGTAAAGTAGATTGTTGGGTATTGTACTCATAAACTACATAAAAAGGTGTAGAATAGCCATAAGAATACACCCATTCATTGTTTTATCACTCTAAGCTTCTTGCTCATGCTACCCTGGTCAACTTTATTTTCTCTAGTAATACCCTCTACTACCGTATACCGTAAAACAGCCATACTGTACCCATACTGTACTGTAGGGCTGTGCGCCATCCGTTTGATGGTGATGGCCATCTATTTGATGGTGAAGGATGGGTATGGCTGACCCATACACCTTCCATTTTTGGTACTCACCAGATCACTGACAGTATGGTATGGGTACAGTATGGCCGTTTTATGGTATATGGTAGTAGATGGTATTACTAGAGAAAATAAAGTTGACCAGGGTAGCATGAGCAAGAAGCTTAGAGTGATAAAGCAATGAATAGGTGTATTCTTATGGCTATTCTACACATTTTTATGTAGTTTATGAGTACAATACCCAACTGTTATGTCCAGTGCAGGACATTCCACACAACTTGTGTGACAGCGTTCATTCAGTGATTCAGATAAGAGGCCAAAAGGACCTCTTGGAGTTTCAATGTGACGAGTCAAAGTTGAAGGGGCTGTTCCCTAAGACAATGTTGAATGGAGAAGTGCCAAAAGCACTGAGACAAATGAGTCAAAGATTCAAAGGAGGATGTCCGGAAGACAGGCACCGATGTATTCGATAAGTCAAGTCTGAGGTCTACACTGTAACTACGACGGACTTATATATGTAAACAGGTGGGCATCTATAGATAAGGGATATGGAGTCAAGTGGGTCCGAATGTACAAAAGCAGAGGGCATAAAGCCTGGCTTCTAATCGGGAATTAAGTAAGTGTCCGGTCTTAGAGATAAGGAGATAAGAAGATAAGGAGATAAGGCATAAGCAAGCACAAACAATGAGTCAATATGTACAAAGGAGGTCACGGGGAGGGAAGTAAGGCACATGAGGGGTTCCATGACTGGGACATGATCAAGAAGTGAAGGGTTGGCGGGAGAGAGGGATTCTCATTAGGGAGAGTGAAGAAAATAGGGTCACTCAGTCCTGATCATAACACCAACAATCTACTTTACCAGCCATAATCTGAAACTCATAGAGGGACTTCAAGCATTGCATTTGCTTCTGTGAGTGTGATTGGTGTAAACAGGGCATACTGGAACATGAACTCCCTCAATAAATGTAATTGTAGGTACATTATCACAAAAGAGACATCAGAGAAACAATACCAAAACATGCCCCAAAAAGGGGCATCCCAAAAACTATATTTGGGCTTGCACAAGGCAACTCCTAAAGCCAAGTGTGGTAAATGTGAGCATACCTCCAACTGGACTCTGGCAGACCAAAATTCAATTACAATAAGGCAAAAATCAAATATATAGACTAATAGACAGCTCAATGACCCAGTGCAGTATCAGCTTGTGTGTGTGCAAGATGCAACTGCTTCTTTTTTTTTTTTGAATCAAGTTTCATTGACGCACTTGCAAGGCCTTGCCTAGGTCGCATGGCTATCTAGTACAAAGGGTCCCCTTGTTACAATTTTTACCCTCTCTTCCTGTCTTCTTCACTCTCCCAAACGACGACCCTTCTTTACCGCCTACTTTACACTTCCAGATCACGTCCCCATCCTGGGATCCCTCACGTGCCTTACTTCCATCCCCGTGACTTGCTTTGTATCTGTTGACTGACTGTGTACCGCTGTTTGCTCTCTTATCTCCTTATCTCCTTATCTTTATGACCAGACACTTACTTAATACCCTATCAGAAGCTAGGCTTTACGCCCTCCACTTCCGTATATTTGGGCCCACCTGATCCTAGTCCCTTATCGCATAGACGCCCGTTTACTTACATATATAAGTCTGCTGTATCTACCTTGTAGACCTCAGACTCGACTTATTGAATACATCAGTGCTTGTCTTCTGGACATCCCCTTTGAAACTCTGACTCGTTTGTCTCAAGTGCTTTTGGCACTTTCCACTTAACATTGTCTCGAGGGGCAGCCCTCTGGACTTTGACTCACTTCACCCAAACTCCAGGAAGTCCTATTGACTTCCTACCTGAATCCGTAGATCGAGCTGTCACACAAGTCGTGTGGAACATCC